AAAACAGAGCCAACACTAACATACTGCGTTTTGGGTTTTATTCCTCTTGGATGCCATTTTTTAAATGTAGTGGTCTTGCATTAGTATTTTGCTGTCTCTCTTCTGCAAAAACACCCAAGTTTAATTAAAACCGGGTTCCTTCATATACATGCAGGTCTTGGTGGCAAGCACCAGCCAATCAAGGCCAGAAGTTTGCTCTTTGCTGCTCATGGCAAATGTTTTCAAGGTGAGTGATTGATGCCTATCCGAGTTGTGTGTTTTATTCCTCACAGACACTCTATTTCCTGTCTTTATAGTGGTCTTGCGTCAGGCTTTTGCGTCTCTGTCTGGCCAAAGCATCTGTGTTAGACTAAGACTGGGCTCTTTAGGATATGTGCAGGTATTCTTCGCAGCAAATGGCTGCCAATCAGGAACACGAGCTTGTTCTCGGCCACCAAGAGCAAGTATTTTCAAGGCGAGCTATTGCCCGCCTATATCAGTGATGTGATGGCTGCGCCAATTGCGCCAAACTGCGCCAAGGGGCTAACCCTGCTACATCCTGCTACATTTTGCCAAAATATGGGTAATCTGCGTCAAAGGGCCAATTTTGGTCGCCTTTAAAAACTGAAACTAAACTAAGTACCGTAACTGAGCATGCATGAGCTAGGCGCCGCAAACGGCCGCCCGACACAAAATACCCTGCATCAATCGTCCATGGTTTTTTCCGCCATGCCGTCTCTCCTTTCATGTCTCGTCGTCTCGTAAGCGTAAGTCTCGTCTCGCTTTTTTTTTTAACGATAGTTGCCGGCGTGTGTGTGTGTGCTGCGACGCTAGCGTGCTGGGTAGCAGCCATGACGTGACGCTGCGAAACGAAACTATGTTTCGGCACGGCGGGAGTTAACTTTTTGAGCTGAAGCTCTCGCTCCTGAAATCAACGGCCGCAAGACGTTGGAGATATGGAGCTTCCTAAACTGAAACATAAGGACCGCCGCATGTTCATCAACATTCATGTTCTTGTTTAAAACATACGCTGCTCCAAAATCTCTCTCTAGCTCAAAGACTGCTGTGTCGAAGTATTGATTACCTAGGTTTCTCTTGGTGGGCTTTCTTTCGAGAGGGACCCCGGTACGTGAAAAATGTGTCGCGAAGAAAAGTTGAAGTGAGCTGAAGCAAAGAAGGGAATGTCTGCACGCTGAACTTACAGAGCGCGCTTGTTTGTCTCGAGTTCAGTCGTTGCACAAAGCGACCCTGGCTCGCGATGTCTTGCATCAATGCGCTCAGGTTCTTTTTTTCTGTGTTTATCTCATACCTCACCTGCCGGCCTTGCAAGTACGCGGCGCTGGACTTTTTTTTGTCGCATGCTGGGCAGTTACATTTTGCATAGACTTTTGGCAACCAGTTGGCGGCAGAGCGGAGGGGCATGGTTTCCGTTTCGATCGAACAGCCGTTTCGCTCGCGTGACGAAGCACGTGACCTGCAAGCCTGCAGGAGTTGCCCTCACGTGCATGTGAACCAACGATGCGAACATAATTGCACAACAGAGGCACCAGCCGGGGCGCTTGCAATTTATTGTTTTACATTTAATTAGTTTTGACGAAAATCTGGCACGTCGGCAACCAGTAAAACAGTGGCAAGCAGTTTTTCGGAATTGCTTGGCAATGCCTACAGCGCTGTACGCTTGTGGGATGTCGCAATATTTCTTTGGAGACATTGAAATTGGACATTCATTACTACCCTAAGCTAAAGCAAAGCTTGCTCCAGCCTTGCAGAATGTTTCGAAAAGCAAAAAGAAATGTGTCATGTCATTGGCATTTCAGTTACATCTTGAAAGACTCCCAGGTGGCCGAACTTCACCATAATTGGTTTATTTCGGCGAGCATGATTCTCTTCGCGTGTCCAGCGTTTAAAACAAATATTTTTATTTTTATTAGAATATCTGCTTTAAAAGCTACTTTTGCTGCTCCAAAGGCCACTTTTTCTGCTCCAAAACGGCTTAGGCCAATCACATCACGGCTATATGAGTTTCAGCATTTGTCAAGGAGTGCAAAAATCACAGCCCGGGGGTTGGCCATTGCAAAAATGTTGACTCAGAAGCGCATAGGGAGGAAGCTTTACAAAAGTATCCACGTGCCTCTACAAGTGAAACCAAAAATAACAATCTGGGTTCCATTTGAAAAAAAAATTGTCAGCCCGAATTAACTCAAGGCGGCACGGAGCAAACAAGCCATGGTACGAGTAGGCTTGGTTCAGGCTTTTGTAGGGGTGGTCGATGACTTGGTGTTTTCTAAAAAGTTATCTTTTTCTAAAAGTGTGGTGGTCGAATATTCAGGGATGGGCATTGAGTCAGGATCTTAAGGTAAAAATTTCATCCACATGCCGGGATTCATGTGCCTTGTCCCCCTAGCTAGGGGGACAAGGCCTTCAAAATTTTAGGTTCGCAAAAGGGGTGCGTCAGTATTGACGTCTCATTTTACGTCAGGCCTTTCATTTTAAAACTCCCTATGAATGACATGGCTAAAATTCGTTTGGGTGTACTTCCTCCCAGCAAGTATATGGTTCTGTCTCAAAAGGTCTAATCTGATGTTGACTGCACCTCAGGTCTCCACCGACGATTCATCAGGACGAGACCCAACCGGGACACTAGGGAGGAGCGGCTTAAGCAAGGGAGGCTACATATACGACAGCTTCTTGCGGACAAGAAACGAAAATAGATAGATGGTGAGTGTTTCAATTGCTAAGCCTTTTGGCATGCACATTCTGTTTGTTATGATTGAAGATTCCTGCAGAGTTCAATTTCAACTATTGTTAAATACCGAGCATGCGCTCAGATCGCAGAAGCGCCTACCCTCTGATTCGAAACGATCCGCAACTAATCAAAGGGCATACCAGACACCCATCCACCTGTTTTCAGCAATGCTCAAAATATTAAAAGAGCACATCAAGCGCCAGGTGCTTTGCCGTCTTTGCCACAATGGCGCCAGTTGCAGAGCTGACAGACCTGTGACTGGCACAAGCCATAGCATGGCCTTTGGGAACCAGGGAATCGAGATTAAAGAAGTAGCGCAGAAATTGGAGGCGGGTGGTGAAGGTGAGCAGAGTCAATGGAAAACAAGGATGAAGGGGGTCCGTCGCATGAGGCATCTATGTCCCGTGCATGTAATTTGAATGTGCTGTAGGCAGCTACTCGAAAAAAATAGTTACTTGTACGTAACTAATCAAAAATCTCTCTTGCAGTTTCCACGGCCCACAAGCCAGCAGGTGCCAGTTCGCTCTCGTTCAAAGGTGAGGATCCCAGATTTTCTAGTTTGCTCTGAAGCAGCAATACTGAAGCCAAACAAGCGGTACGGCATATCTAATTGACGGAACTTAGTACGACTGGGGACGCTTTCACTGAAGCTTGTTTTGCTGCAATACACGCGTGTATTGTAGCAAAACAAGCTTCAGCGAAAGCGTCCCCAGTCGTTCTGAGCTCCGTCAATTAAATATGCCGTATCGCTTGTCTGTCTGGCTTCAGTGTTGCTGTAGGCGACAAAACATGTGCCCAGTTTTGTCACAGGAGGCATTATATGTCACGCACATGTAATTTTGATTTTATCTGGCTTAGTGTGCTGTAGGTGGCTGGTCAAAGAAATTGGTACTTGGACGCAGCTAATCGCAAATCTTTCTGAAAGTTTCCAAGGCTTAAGAGCCAGCAGGTCCCAGTTTGCTTCTCCTCAGAGGTGAGAATTCCAGATTCCCGAAGCAGGAATACTGAAGTCAGACGACCGGTACAGCATTTTTAATTGACAGAGCTCGGAACGACTAGGGGCTCGTGCATTGAAGCTTATTTTTCTGTAATACACGCGAGCGACATTGACGTATGCCCAGTTACGTTGCAAGAGGTTATCTATGTCCTGCGCATGTAATTGTTTTAATCTTTTCGACTTAGTGTACTTTACGGGGCTACTCAATGTAATTGCTACTTGAACGCAACTAATCGCAAATCTCTCTTCCAGTTTCCATGGCCTACAAGCAAGCAAGCACCAGTCTGTTTTTCCTCAAAGGTGAGCATTCCAGATACTTTAGTTAGGTGCAAAGCAGGAACTGTGAAGCCAGATGAGCCGATAGGTTTATTTAATTGACGGAGCTCAGATTGATCCGTGGCAGTGGAATGGAAGCTTATTTTTCCACAATCAAACGCAGACATAATTTTGAATCTATCCGGCTTAGTGAAGGATTGCTACTTGTTGCAAACTATTCACAAATTTTTATTTTGCAGTTTCTATATGGCTACAGCTAGCAGGTGCTGCTTTCATTAAAAGGTGAGGATTTCACATTCTGTTTTCAAACAGCAAGTTTTTGAATGAGGGTCCTAAACAATTAACTCTCTTTTGAAGTAAATGCCAGATCCTCCAGTTCGGGAATATGTTAAATATATTTGGTATGGATAAGCCCAGTGTTTTGCTTCTTTATTCATAATTTGACAACAACAACACTTTTTATTTTATCACTCAGAAATACACACAAGCAGAGACTGCGTTGCAAAGAAATGTTGTGCTGAACGTGATATTACAACTCGCATATAGTTTTATTGGTAGCCGATATAATATATTGGATTCCAATATCCATAATACGCTGAGTATATTGGAATCGTAAACCCTTATTGGATCCCCATACGACACATGGGGATCCAATAAGGGTTTATACGGTATTGGATTCCAATATTTTCAGCGTATTATGGATATTGGAATCCCATAACAAATCCTTATTGTAATACAATACAATTAATGTAATGTTTTCCAATACACTGTCTATATTGTATTGCAATACAATAAAAATATATTGTTTAACAATATCCATAATACGCTGTTTATATTGGGGTTTTCCAATAGGGGAGAATCAGTTTCGCCCCAGCGTTCGACTCTGCTGCTACGCCGACTTCGACGCCCGCGACTTTCTGTTATTATCTTTTGTACCCGTTTATTTGTTGCACAAGTTCGCCACATTAAACGTTTATTTCTTTCTGTTTATTTATTGTTATTTTGGTCACCACCCGTGACAATATGAGCAGTCACGGATTAGGAAGAGGTTTATTCGAAACGGCCGCTCTCAAAGCTTCTCTGTACTTGGTCGAAAGCAAAGTCTCCACGAAGCCGCTCAGATGCTTTTTCGTTTGTTCCTTGTAGAGAGACCGTTCTTCGTTACTCATAGATGCGTGATCGGGTGTGAGCACGGTAATATTCACAGGTCCATTCAACATGAAGGTAAAGAGATTTGGCGTTCCTGGAGGGAAGGCCATAACTTCTAGGAGTGCAGTCGTTGCCATCAGTGACGTCTGAATGGTCAGTTCATTATTGAATCTGGCCGCGCTGAAAAGGTAAGGGTGAGAAGGTCAGGTTTCCAGTCCATGGCGGATATCCTAGAATTGGTACCGAAATACTACTCAACACTATTAATAAAAGACCTATATTTGATTAATTACTATAAAAATACGACATTGACAATAACGTAAGAAAGGAACGAAGTGAAGGTTAACGGTGTAATTTATGCTGTCTTTTAAAAGGGTTTGTTTTAGAGCGCAGCTCTTAGGTGCCCGTTTCCGGCTTGAGCGGCGTCGCCGTCGCCGTCGGCGTCGGCGTAACCGCGCGGTGCTTTATGGGTAAATATTCCCGCTAAGTTTATCGGAAAACATTTCCCTGATAAATTTATGAGAAAAAAATTTGCCCGCTCAATTTAGCGGAAAAGTTTTCTTGCTAAAATTAGCGAACAATTTTCCAGGCTAGCGGAAATTTTCCGGCTAAATAAGGACGCGGGCAGGAGAAGACGAGTGACATAGCTTCCTCTCCGTACCTTTCCCTCCTCCTGAAGGGCTGCGCTCTAATTCGCCGTTACCGGGGATTGTAAACGTCTTTCTTTTTTTTTTATTTGAGTCTCAAACAGACGTCCGAACTTGTTACTGACAGATTTTGACAGTAGTTATCAGACCCGACAAAGCTAGCTGAATGATATAATTTTATTGTTTAGCAAGATTTTGTTCAAGGCTGAATAATGTATAGTAAGAACCTCTAGAAAAGTAGAATTCTTTTTTTATAATCAGAAGCACCAATTTATAAATTTAAAGAGCCATGTTCCACGACAAACGTTGCGAGTAGATTTCATAAAAGCGTGCTTGTCTTGTCAGCAATCTCTGACACTCATGATAGAGCATCACTCATTGTAGTACATCGCACCGACGTTAAAGCGCGTCCAAAAACGCTTTGCACGAACGTTTTACGCAAGAAAATATCTGCCCAAGTTCTATTCGTATGGGAATCTGCTCAATCGCTTAAGATTGGGCGAGTAGGTGCGACCTTATATTGTTGTTCAAGTATTTGCACGGGTATTCGGAGTGTACGTCTATTTTGTCTCACATTAATTTAAATGCTCCTGTTAGGAGCTTTCACAACAACCGCGCATTTGCCGTTAATCCCGTACATTTTTTGTCTGCGGTAGTTCGCATAAAGAACTGTTCTAATCATCTGAACACGTGCCTTGTTCCACTTTTTAATGAGGACATCATGACGCTCAAGAGGAGCGTCGATTATGTGAGATAATGTCTTGTCACAGATTCAAGTTCTAAATTTGCTTTGTTATCTTTTAGCATCTTAAACTTACTTGGTGCCCTACCATTTTATGCTTTTGTGTGTTGGTAGGCGCTGTATATAAACACATTAAAATATTTACACAAAAAAGTTTAGAATTGAATTTTTTCTTTTTCAGTTAAAAATGTTTGACTTTAGCCTTCTCATAAACGTTGTTTTAACTATTTTCGTTTAATCACCGTTCCAAGCTGTCTTCCTTCCATTCTATATGAATTAATTTGATTCTCAATGCAATGTTGCAGTGAAAGTTGGCGTGAAAGAGTATTTTAAACAAATTACAATGCGTAAAAATGATCATACATCACCTCGCTCCCATCGCTTTACCACTACATGTGATCTTCACATCGACGAATCGTACATGAGATCCTAAGGTTAGGTTCCCGTGCAGGTAGCCAGGAGCACTGGCGTTTCCAAAGCGGCGCACGCCGCCGGGTAGTCCGTCGAGCGTTCCTTTGGTGAACTCGACACGGAGGTCGCTTCTTCCTGCACTGGCCTGCCACAGATCCACTTGAAAGGGTGGCACGGGCACCGAACCCAGCTGCAGTTTTAAGGACTCTTGAGTCGCGCCGATGGATAGGAGCTCGTCGAAATAGAGGTTACCCTTGTCCACGCCAGTCGGAGATGCACGCTCCGCAAGCAAGGCTGAAAACAAACAAAAAATGTTCGCAAAACTGCGTTCGGTACTATATTGCATAGTTACTGGCAGCTGGCGAGTCAGGCGATACAAACGCCGGCGCACGAACTGCGAAACAAGAAGCCTGAACAGATAAAGTCGAGCCCTGATTTTTTTTTTAGCGGTCAGTGAATGGGTATCTTACTCCGTTAGTCTACACATCAGAGTAACGTATACTAAATGTACAAAAAAACAAGTAAAAAAAAAACACAAAATAAAATCCCGAGATGTGATGTCCACTAGAGCTTGGCGTCAATTAAAACATTTAACACGATCCATCGGCACCCTTTAATCAATAAATAGATCATTGAATCGGTCACGTTAATATTTAGGCATATTAGCGTATAAAAAGGGCCAAATAATTTTTCTTTTCATTCGTGTTTTTTTTTTCTGTGTTAAACACTCCAATGTGAATTTTGAGCTTGGTATAAGCGGGTTGTTGCAAGTTGTGTTTTCCACCGACGAGCAGATGAATGCCTGCCTTTTAAGAGTTTTCTTGTAGATCGTTGATATGCCTCCGATACCGCCGATAACCATACCCGATTACGATGCGATGCGTGCACAACGGTGACGGTGAACTATAAAATAGTTTTCTCCGAGTTATCGAAAGGATCTACTAAAATTCTGTACTGATTGAAATCACTAAGATATATAAAGACCAAAAAAAAACAGAAAACTATTATTTTGTATTGGGTTCACCCGTTTTCAAATTCAACCAATTAACCAGCTAAAACATTTGATCGGCATTAGAACATTAATTTATTAATCAGAAGGTAAATTGCTCAATTGCCCGGCCCTATTAACTGGCATTTTTCTTCCCAGCGCGTGCCGCTTTTGCGTACAAATTACATTCACGCTCCCACGCTGCACGTGCTTGCACCAGTAAAAATTAATTTTACGGCATTTTTAAGAGAGTGAAGAGAGCAAAAAAAGAACCCGATCTCTCACTAAAGGTGCGCGACCACTTTCAGCGCCATGCTTTTTTCCGTGTCAAAGGGCTGCAAAGTGATGTTAGTATTATGAATATTAGGCAAAGGTGTAAATCTAGCACACAGATGCGCATATACCACGCCGAAATAAGCGCAAGGACCATACCAAAATACTACCCAAGTATTTTGTATGGTCTATGGCAAGCCAAAGACGTAAGGAAATAGGCGAAAATCCCAGAGATTGTCGAACGCTCATAGAGGGTTACAGGAAAGCGCAGAGACACCGAGACTTCCGTTCATGACATCAAGCTCCTTCGGATATTATCTTCTTTTACTGAACTCTCGGGCGAAGAGGAGTTTGTGGAAACAACAAACCATATGTGTACTTTTTTAGCTTAAGGAGCCTGAGACGTCATAAAGTGTCACCATAAATAACAATGTCATAACTCGCATGATAGTGTGCACGCAACAAACATTTCTTATTTTTCTTAGTCCAGTTATGTTGTATCGTTAATGGATCTCCTCGCAGTACACATACAAATTTGCATAAAGTTGTTGATTTAATTTAGTGATTGGTATGTCTCCGTGGGACATCTCCTTTGACCACAATAAATTGCTTCGAATACACAACTGAATCGTATCATTTGGCACGCTAAACCTCGGTGGTATTTTTGGAAGAAATAATGAAGATAGCAAAACTTACCTGACGAAATCATCAAAAACTGGGCGAACGTCCCACGATCCATGTTAGCGTTTCTCTCACTCCTAAAGCCGTGAAATGTGTCCTCGAACAAATTGATACGCAAAGAGGGGGGAAGCAGAACAGTCCGTCTTATCGTGGGTTAGGATAATCTAAGGAATCCCACTTCAATGCGCAGTAGATAGGTATGCGTTAAACACGGCGGTGCCCGCAGTCTGCGGTGTGGCCTTCCCTAGACATTCGTCCCACACCTTTCTGGTGTATTCAGCTGTATTACACGCAAAAGCGTCCCGATGATCGACAATGAGGGGATTGCGTGTTTCGACCATCCGGGCTAATCGTAAACACGACATTCCGCGCCCACACATTATAAAATAAGAACCGCTGGCGCTTCTTTCAGCGCATGTGCTTCAATTGAAACAAAAATAAATGGTTCAGCCTTCACCTCTAGTGATGGCTACCTTTAAATCTGTGATTGCAGCATGTCCTCTAAAACCAGTAAGTAAAAAGGCTAATTGGATAGTGTTAGGTAATTAGTCGTTTGATCGTTTGAAGTGGAAAATGGTCACTTAGCGAACAAGTTATGGCTTCCAAGTGCTTAGTTTACCCTTCCACGTCTGTTAATTTTTTTTCTTTTAATGATATTGAATTTGTGAATTTAACGTCTGAAGATTAGCGTTTATTTTTTGTGCTTAAAATATGGGTGTTGTTTTGTTTGTTCTTTTTTTGTTTAAATGTGCCCCATATATTTCCATCATCTTCAGTTTGTTTCTATTTGTAGAGGTATGATTTTCACCCGATCTTTCCTCATTTTTACTTTTCGCATGTAGAGGAATATGTGCTTCTTGCAGGCTTTCATGCAGCTGGCCATTTTAGGGTTCTAAATATGCTAGTCGAGCTGCACACTGCCAGTTTTTTCTTCAGGCATCCCATGAAACTTGATGAAAATAAACTTATTTTTATCATTATCGCAGCGGTCCTCTAACAATCACAAATCATATTAGCAATTAACTGTAAAAAAGTAAAATAATGATTTAAAACGAACTCGCTTTGATTACTGCACTGCATGCGTCTGTAGCTTTCATTCCGAAAACAAAACACACACACAACTCCGAAATGTGGACCCAGATGCCGCTCTCAAACAAAATGGCATGCGAGGTTTTATTTGCTAGCAAGGTGTGAACTATTTTCTACTAGTGTCACTAAATGAGCTACACTTCACAGTACGACACTTGGCCATATTGTGGCTTAAAATAGTGGTTGCCAGTTATCTGAAGCTTTATCTGAAATCACAGGAAACGTTCTTCCGTCCTCAACAAATGTTTAAACAGTTCACAACAAAGCAAAGTATACTTATATGTGCTTCCTAACACCAAATCTATTGCTGACGAAGTCGCACTTTTCAATTATAACGATCGGCACTTCCGTCTGCTTTGCACAAGCACCAAAATGGCGGCGCCCGCAACAATGTCGGGGAACGGAGTGCCGATACTCTCAGCGCCGCTTACTTAGTTGCTCTATTTTCTACCACGAAGCTAACGCTGGTATCCAGCGTTCGCGTCGGACTGCTCGGCCCCACATTCTGTGGCGGAGACATCTCGGTGGGAAACCAAAAAGATATCACTCTGCTGCAATTCTTCGAGGTGTTCTTGCACCCTACAGCCAATCATCAATTCCGACCATCCTCCATCGCTTGCAGCAAACAGCCTAAACCAGACGAAATTCGCAAACCCGCAGATACTCACTATCACTACAACGCACACCGCCGTGGAGTAGAGAGCTTCGTCTGCTCTCAAATACATTTGACGTCACAAGTGTCCCTGCACGTTGTCGCCAGTAGAGAGGAAACAAGTGATTAGGAGGTGTACGTGAAAAATTCAAAATAAATTTTCTTCAAAGAAAATTACTTTAAAACCCTTAATGTTCGCGAGCCCTTGCGAAAATTTCGGTCCTTTTTAGAATTTCAATACAGGCGTCTGGAGTTTGCGAAATTTAGTTGCCGCGCTTATGTCTTCAGTGACCGATACGGGAAATATAGGTATGGTGACCTGGAACGCGTCTCCGACTAGTGTGTTTACCACGTCCAAAAAAGTGGTCCCTCGATTTCCTCCTGATGACGTCATAGAAGCGTCATGTTGTCACCGGTCGCGACCCTGGCTGTGTCTCTGCAACTGTGGTGAATGTGGCAAACGCCTGTTCTGCTGCTGGCCGCTCTTTACTTTTACACACCACGGAAGCTACAACAGCCGGAAGTTGGGACGCCTGGGACGCCGTGACGACAGCAACATTCGCGTTCCCTCGTGCTTTTCGTCAGCATTTCTACGACCAACCGCCAGGATCGCGACAGACTGCAGCAAGACACTCTGACATCTGTGACGTCATTTGTTGCCACTTAGGAACCACTTTTTATGTATGGGCGGGATAGGACGCTAAACACACCAGTCGGAGACGCGCTCCAGGCACCATAATATAGAGACCGCGAAAATAAAGGGTTTTACAGAAATACTTTGAATAAATAATTCGTAGGTACCGACGTTACTAGAACCACTCAGTTGGGAAACTGCCATAGAGACTAATCTGAGAAAGTGGCACTGATCCGTACTCAAGAACCGAGCTAATGGCGATCACAACGCCGCCATTTCTCCCGCAGCGGCCACTTGAGGAACTGCACGTGAGTTCTATTTTGGCATTAATCGGCCATTTTGGCGCCGAAACAGACAGTGTGGAAGGGGCTTAGGGGTGCCCTCCCCGTCTCCCAAGCGGGCGTGCCGCGGAATACCACCGAGGGTTAAGATCCAGGTCGGGACGCGCTACCTAAAATCACCGCTGAGGCATGGTGTATAAAAACAATAATAATTGTCCTGCAAAACCTTGCAAACTAAAGACTTTAGAAAACAACATGCGCCCATAATTTTTTACTTAACTCCACTAAGGGTTACTACAGAGAGTTTTTTTCCGTTGGTTTTTACGCAAAAAACATGCTTTCTAAAACTCAAGGTGACCACAGTAAAAGCAAATGATAAGGAGTGGCGCTGTTGTCGTATTTAGCTCGGTGTGGGTGGACGCTAGCGGCCCAGGTTTCAACGGTGAGTTTCCCAAGTGAGGGTTCTATAGTAGTAACGTTGGTAGGTACCCTCAACGCGGGATATTTAGTAGATGGTTAAAATGTTATGAAAATCAATTACCATCAATATTTCGCCGGAGCAATGTCTCTATATTTTTATAGAAATGTTTTCACTACACTTTGTTGTGCGGTTATCATTGAAACGTGTTCGTGTCGTATAATATATAAGTATACTCTAAGAAATGCCTGCACGTCTACTTACCCGTAAAACACTCGAAGAGCCGATCTCTGCGGTCTACGAAATCAGCTCAGCAAATGATGAGGCGGAAGATTCGTTTAGACCCAAAAATGAAGTCTGCACTGTGGCATTACGCAATGCAAGCGTGAAACTTTGCATTGCGTAATGCCACAGCGCACACTTCATCTTTATGTCTAAACGGATGTTCCGCCTCATCATTCGCTGAGCTGATTTCGTAGATCGCAGAGATTGGCTCTTTGAGTGTTTTGCGGGTAAGTAGACGCGCTGGCATTTCTTAGAGTGTAAAACGTTTTCTCTAAGCAGTAACGTGAATTATTAAGACATGTGAGGGCTATTAAATGTATTGCCGAGAAACTAGCTTTTGTCATTCAGCAATTCCATGTCTGGTAAAAAGGGAAATTATGCCGAGAAACTTTTTTTTAGAGCGCAGCTCTTAGGCGCCCGTTTCCGGCTTGAGCGGCGTCACCGTTGCAGTCGGCGTAACCGCACGGTGCATTATGGGAAATATACCATAATACACCGCGCGGTGCATTCTGGGACATTTCTCATGATGCACCACGCGGGGACAAGGAGAAGTAGGGAGGAGGACGAGGGAGAAGGGAGGGGGGAGCAGGAGAGGAGCAGGAGGAGGGAGAGGGAAGGGAGAAGGGGGAGGAGGTTGTGGAGGAGGGGGAAGAGGAGAGGAAAGAAGAGAGGAGGGAGAAGGAGAAAAGGAAGGGGTGGAGGAGGGGAGCTTGAAGGATGATGGGAGAAGGAGGTGAAGGAGGGGGAGGAGGAGAAAGAAAAGGAAGGAGGGAAGGAGGAGTAGCAGGGAGGATAAGGAGGTGAGGAGGAGGGAGCAGCGGTATACCCTCCCCTCAGTACCCTTGGCTCCTCCTCCTCAAGAGCTGCGCCCTAATTCGGCGTTAGAGGGCGTTGTAAACGTCTCTTTTTTATTGTGCACTTCAATTTATTTGTATTTTTGGCCTGACACTACTATAGAATTTCAGAAATATTCCAGATGGTTTAAATATTGGGTCTTGTTGCGAAACGTAACAGTAAAAAAATGATTTTATAATGTTCTGAAGAAATGCTTGGAATCAAAATCTTTTGACGTGAATAGGAGATAAAAAGGAATTGTTGCGTGTCCATGTAATTCCATGTATTTTTTGCCATAAATTCACAGACGTCCAAAACATCAACGTCGATAGTGTTGATTTCAAGCCAGCTCCGACAGTCACGTGGGCTACTTGATTATGTAAGGGATTATTCCAAACAAACAAGAAATGGAAACAAAAAACTTCCTACAAAATCATTTTATTTACAAATAATTTTTAGAAGTTAGAAAACATTTAGAAGGTACGTAACGTGTATGATGAGAACTGATTGCTTAGCTCATAAACTAAATGGTAATAATGTCCTAAACAAAATAGGAACGCAAAAGAAAAACGAAAATATGCGTGATCGTTATGTTGGGGGGAACAATTCTTACTACATTCCTTCAACTTTCGTTAATACTATTTCGTGCACTAAAAATACCGGAGGGATGGTTTTGTTTCTAGTCTTTGAGAACTGAAAATCCTTTAAAGTGCATTAGAGTGCGTTATTCACGTGACATTCGAACAATATGCGGGACGTGGCATTCCTGAAGTATTACTCGGAAACTCGTTATTCTAAGCTGTAAGCAAATCAGTCAAAGTGAAAGTAGTCGAGACTTTCTTCCATGATGCTGTCCATGCTCTGGATTATCTGCCCAAAGCACGGTCTGGAGACGGGGTTGCTGTTCCAGCAGGACGCCATGATGTCGTACCTTAGAACAAAAGGAACAGAAGAAGCATTTGTCACATCAGCCGCTACTCTTGCCGGCGCACAGTCCAAATGCGGGGCTCATCCCGATTGTTTCGGTCGATAATATGTGCACCAATTGATGTTATTTTCAATTTAGACATTTTTTTCCTCTTTCGAGGTTTGTTTTCTGATTGTGTGAATACGCATTCCATTTCTAATTTGTAAAGAAAATATTCGCGTCTGCGAGTTTAGGTATCCTGTGTACCATTCGTAATAGTGTCAGTTGCAAGATGGATGAAAGGCCTGCCAGCTAACATTTATTTAATCGTACTGCATTTGCTGGGTTGTCTCTGTACCCAGAAGTAAGAGTACATTTCAGTGTACAACGACATCCCACGTCTAAGCATAAGAACAAGTAGCCTTGTCTTTGCTACTGTGGCAAAAACGGCGGTTTCAGTAGTATTACTTCAAATAAGGACGTGCTACTTCATGTTTCGAGCATATTTGTATTGCTGCGGAGTCAATTAAATATCGGCATTCAACAATGGAAACCTCGAAAAACAAATCATCAGGAAAGAAACATGAACATAACAAGCATGCCTTGTCTGCAAGGGATTATACCTCCCATAATTCTTATCAGGAAAGAGCTACACAACAGTAAGTAAGAAGTATGTTTCTGGGCTTCAGGAGCTTAGCCCCTCAGTATAGATAAACGATGTTCCTGATATTTACATCGACTACCTTTGAGAGGGCATCTCTCGTTGGAACGCTACTAAGTCGGTGTTTGGAATGTTCTAAAAAGCATAGTTGTCTTCACCTCGATTCAAGTGCGTTGTGATAGTTTCGACCGCTTTCTTTTACTATTTTATACTCACACGTCTTGGGCGCAGTCCGATGGCCTGTTCAATCTGTTGCCTTCTAACAGGTACTGAAGCACTTCGTGGTTGTTAACTCCGGGGTAGGGCACCGCTCCCAACGTCATCACTTCCCACATCAGGACGCCGAAAGACCAGCTAGAGATTGAAAAAACTGGGTCTTTAGCGTTCATGCACAAAGAAGTACCTTTATACCATGGTATTCCCTTTATGGGTTCTTTTCTTTTTTACCTTGAATACTGGCCTTACTTAATGGCCGTTAACTGTCCTGACATAGTATGCCTTTAAGCAGAGATAAGACACGAACATTGATAAAAAATAGTGCAGAGATTGAAATTGCCCGTTTTGTTTAATATTAAAATGTATCCACTAGCTTTGTGCCATACATATAAGTTAATGAGATATTGATATTTTTATTGAGCCAGGTGATGAAAGCATTTTAATAACGATAATTTGATTTTCAGAGGACCGCTGCTTAACTCTCAGTTGCTTAGGTGCATAAAACGTTCACATCGTGGGGAGTGTGAATGACAACTAAGAAATGTTTAAAGTTTAATTACTTTAGGAATTCTAGAAGTTTGTGATAAAGACGTACTGAAATTATGGGACGTATTAATTGGTAATCTTAACTGGCCTTAATTCCTCGGTCTGGAGTTTTAATTAACGCACGCGTGCACGGTGTAAATTTATTCTGAAACCAACGGGCTGTCCAGACCTTGAGCTAGAGAGACAACTGCAAAGATTTTATCACTGAACAACGAGCGCATTAGCGACTCCGTAATCGTGACATGGTATGTCTATGACTGCACTTACACGTCGCTCATAGGTGTGTAGGTGAAGTGTGAAAGTGATTCAACTGCCATCCAGCGCACTGGGAGTCGGCCGCCAGTTGTTTTCCGGTAGAGCCCCTCTTCGTAAGCGTCTCTAGAGAGGCCAAGGTCTGCAATCTTCACCTGCTGTTTGCTCAGCAGCAGAATGTTGCGTGCTGCAAGGTCGCGGTGGACTATTCTCTTTGACGCCAGAAACTCCTGAAATGTAGGGCAATCACCACTTTAGCACTGCCCACTGTTTACACAAAAGTTGGCAAAATGTAAAAGCTACGGCTTCCGCCAGACAAATACAGCGACGATGTAACAACTCTCACGTAATGGGTGCAGACAAACAGAAGACTTCCCCGATCCTCGCTGTGACATTCTTGTTAAATTACCAGGAGTCGTAGCTTTCACCGTTTGCCGAATTATGCTGAAACGGAGTACAGCAGATCTGGACTTCAACAGCTACAGTTAATTTTACTGTAATTCAATGCGCAGCCAATGTTACGCACCGATTTGTCCAATCAAGCAGCACCAAAAGAGCTACTTAATAACTTTTGTCTTTCTGTGTGTATGTTTTAACGAAGCGGAATTAAATAAGTGAACAGGATACACTCTGACTCTACGTTTATGAGCCAAACGTAAGGGCTCAAGTGAGCTGGTGTATATTAAACATTTTAGTGAAAAACCCGAGACTGAGGTAAAACAGACGACGACAAGGAAGAGAAGGAGAACGTCTCAAACACAGCTCAACGAACTGGTATTCGTACATGGCTGCACACAGTTTCTGTGCATTCCTTCGTGTCTTATAGCCTTTAGTGTGCTCTGACTTATGATAAAACCATGCAATCAATCATGGCGATTTTATATGATGGAGACCAGTATCCGAAATCCTAGTCCCCAGTGATAAAAATAGTAAATAATAATCTCAAACGCAGGCTCTTGTGGAGAGAGTGACTGCACACAAAACAAGAGTTTTGCTTTTTACAGCACTCGTCGCATCGGTGTTATTCTTGGAGCTTTGTGACTATTCATGTCTGACGTTCTTGCACTATGAAATGTGCGCAGGTTCCTAAAATAAATCGGCGTCATGCAAGAAGAGAGGTTTGCCTACTGTGTCATGGCGTCAGCATAAAAAAACACTGTGGCGCCCATGGAACGGAGCGGACACTCCTCTATAAGACTGCAGAACATTCTGGATGCTTTAGAAACACTGAAAAATAATATGGTGTTTTGCAGATTTGTTTCAAATACCTCTCGAAATACCCCGTGTATATGTGGACTTATTCAAAGCAATTAGCACAAGTCATCCGGGGTGTATAAAAGGAGCTAAAAGAAAGAATAAAAGGCAACATGACTGCGAGCTTAGGTTCATAATTAAAAGAAATGGTTTAACAAAAGTGCCACAAACCTGTTGTGTCGAAGTGTATCACTGGCATTTGCGCACGTTTAATTTTAATGATATTTTATAATTTTTTGTGTACTTTTTTTTCACACGCAAATCAATCATAAATGCATGTGGTCTTTCTTAAGATAGAATCGGCAAAACAGATGTCTGTTGATACTTATATTGCGTGATTAACGCTACATGTGAAAAAAAAAAATGTCAACGGACTCAATTTTTCAGTCCCCCAAAATAAACATGTTTGATACCCTACAGTTATAAGTTAATATTGTAGCTTCAAAGGCATTGTAATAAAGTCACATTCTTATAAAACGAAATAAATATTTTAAAACGATAAAACACGACAATGCCTTTGCAGCATCCACGCACCGATTTTTTGGAGATAACCAGACATCAGAAGAAAATATTAGCCATGTACGAATACCGGTTCGGCGGGAAAATAGGAGTGTCATTCCCAGATTAACATTGTTAAAGAAACACTAAACCACCTTCTGCAACACTCAATTTATAGCCATATGACTCACAACTCGATGTATAAGCTCTAAGCATGGTAAGAAACCAAAGATTATATTCATGCATACCAATATCTCTATTAAATTCGGTATTTCAATAATCACACCAAATAGCGCCATCGGACAAGGAGGGCAGAACCTTGCCCTTCTTCGTGCGACGGCGACATCTGCCGTAAGTAATAGTTTCGATGTAGACGATCTTTTGATAGCAAGATTAATAAAAACAAAAATAATTTGTGCATAAATGTAACTTTTTTTCCATAAAGACTAGAGCTCATTGATTGAGTTATTACCGTAAATATACTGTCGCAGAACCTGGTTTAGTGGCCCTTTAAGTAAACAGGTTGTCTTGTCTTTCCTTTTCACTGTGAAGGTTGCGAATGACGCAGCTCTATTGAATTCGAAAGGTAAAATGTGACTACTCTGCTGCTAGAGTGTAATTCTAGTAAAATCTAAAAATCCCTACGCTTACATAGGATTCTTAATCCGACATGTGTCCATGACACACACAAAAAAAAACATGAACATCCGAAATTAGGTAAACAACTAACAATCTTCCGCGATTTTCAGAACACACCTACCATGCCTCGAGCAACCTGTCGCACAAGTGAGAGGAGATATGCTGCTGATAGGACCTCCTGGACATCGGAACCTGCTTTAAAGATATAGTGGTATTAGTGAACATTTCAAAGATTTTAATCAAGCGTGCAGGTCGTAACGTTTTACCAACTTGTTTCAGGCAGACGTATCACTTGGTTGAATGAAAACTTTAAACCCTGAAAACATTTTAAAAAGTGCCACCAAATTTGACCAAGCTGTTCGTCGAATAGTCACGAATCCAAAATCATCGGATTATTTCACGACACTCTTTGGCGCATGTAAACAAAGCTAACGCAAATATTCTAGGAACATTGATCTTGGTTTAACCTAACGGAACAAAACATATTCAGCTTTCATATGTAATTGAGCTTGATTGTACACTGCACGTGTCTCTACGTGCTGTTTGCGTGCATGGAAAGAAGGAGAGGAAGCGGCATACCGGCTCAAGCCTGCCAAGGGAGAAAATCCTAAGTGAATACGGAAGTAGAGGGCACGCTCGGTGGGGACGCATCCAAGGGTGGCAAAACAGCTGTTGGAGCAAAGTCAGCTCTCCTTTTCGTCCAATAGAGTATTTTTGCTTTGGTCATTGTTGGGGACGTCTCTCTCCAAACTGAAAGTCTCCACCGTCTTCAGATCTGGTGGCGTCATACGTCACCTCCAGAAGCGTCCTACCACCATGTTTGTATACGATCGTTCAGCAGCCGTATATATACAATCGAAAATATTTGGAGCAGCAAGTAATTTTAAGAGAATCGAGGCAAGGCTATATCTACGCACCTTGATTCTGCATATAAGGGGGGGGGGGGGGGGCACATTTGCACAAGTGCACATTTGCACAAGGCCGAATAAAAAAGCGTCTACGACGTATAATACGGCATGCAAGTTCGGTTGCTCCTTGTGCACATCCTGCGTTTGTTTAACCCCCAAAGGCGCCCACGTACTTTTGTTTACCCCCTGCCTCAACCAATTAAAACACGAGCTCAACCGCCTTGCCATCGCGCATTCCTTGGGTGTTTTGTTTGTTGGTATTCGATTGGCGTTCACACTCCTGTATTCCGGCACGCCAAAGACGCCTTCTGGACCACTTGCTCGCCATATTGTAACGGGGCTTAAGTTGAGCTAAGCTTGCTTTCACACTGTGTTAGCGTACACCAGATGCTACGGTCGGATATAGCCAATCAAGCAGCGCTAAAAAGCATTGTGATGGCGCTCGTCTTTTTGTGCGTTCGCCGTCTATAGTCCGTTTCATGATAACTTGGCAAATTGTGGGAGCCAGTGGCCCACGATCCAATAAGAGCGCCGAAGTGAGGACGCGACCCGACGTCACTGGAGCATTTGTGTCAACGCGCCAAATGCGAGGCCCGAGGCGCGATGGAACGGGCTGTCGTCTGCTAGCCGAGAGTCGTTCGCTCCAAAACCAATCAACTTCGGATGAACGTCCAACGCAGCAACAAAATTGTCCGCTGGAATAGCGAGTATACTTCATGAACAGTTCATGAGACAACCATACGCTCAATTTGGCCGCGAATCTGTGATGTGTTCTAATGCCAGGGCACAATGCGATGTTTTTAGCGGAAACTTCCGATTACACTACTGCGATCGCCGGAGGTCGCTAATGGCAACGGCGCTACAAGGAGAACAAAATCGAGAGGATATGGATGTGGGGTCACTTTTTAGAACACAGCTCTTAGGCGCCCTTTTCCGGCTTGAGTGGCGTCGGCGTGGGCGTCGGCGTCGGCGTCGGCGTCGGTGTCGGCGTCGCTGTCGGCGTCGGCGTAACCGCACGGTGCACGATGGGTAAATTTACCCGCTAAATTTAGCGGATAATTTTCCCCAGTAAATTTTGCGGAAAACTGTCCCCGCTAAACTTGGCAGGGAAAATCTTCCCCGCTAAATGTAGCGAAAAATTTCGGGCTAAATTTAGCGGAAAAAATTCTCCGCTACATCCAGCGGAAAGATTTCCCCGCCAAATTTAGCGGAACGTTTTCCCCAAAATGGGCGGCGAGTAGAAGAGGAGGAGAGGCATAGCCACGTCTCCGTACCTTCCTCTCCTCCTCTCCGAGAGCTGCGCTCTAATTCGGCGTTACAAGGAGCTGTAAATATCTTTTATTTTTTGGTTTAGATATAACTGAAACTCGTAAATATGTGAATATTTATTCCTTATTCTTCACGCCTCTTCATTATATATGGAATCGCGCGAGTTCGATTGCCATTAAAAGAAAAAGAAGCCTAGAACTACCTTTTGTGGCGGAGGGCTCCGTTGCTGTGGCGGTAACAAGGCCCCGTGGCTTCGACCATTGAGTGTTATCACGTGCCTTGTTCCAGCGCCTTCATTGGGTCGGGGAAGCCGCGGCCTCCACAGTTCGCGAAGTTATCGTGAAACGGATTATGTACTAATCCCACACAGAAGAAAAGCGGAGGATTATGGAGCATTCACTGTGCGTTATTGGTTTAGCCGGTGATTACAGGCGCCCAGAATCTACGAGGGCCGCAACGATGCATTCTCGATGCCTCAAAATTCATTCATCAAATCGTATTGTCGGCTCTGCTCGGACTTATTTGCAAATATATTTTAGTTCGACCATTACGTTGCTGATAGGGCCAGCGAAAACAGACAGATGAGTATGCGCAAAGAAGCGTAGACTATGTACAGTCTCAACCAATAAGAAATACCCACTTGGAGCTCGTAGCCGAGACGGTGGCTGGTGAGGGCGCCGCGCGCGTTGTGGAAGTTCCATATTGCTCCGAGGGGAGTGAAACTCCATAACACAGTCACACTGAATCGGCGTGCACTGACGAAGCCCTTTTTCTTTCGTCGGGTGGAGATGGAATTCCCCAAAGCATGAAAAGATTACCTCCTCAACCCCGCTCCCTTATCCCCCCAGCCGCCGCCTCGGCGACGCGTACCAAGCAGTTTTTTTTTTGTTTTGTTTTTTCGTTAAGTGTGGGGACTTCGTCCTGCTCTTCCTAAGATGTGTTCGTTGCGATGACCAAGTTTAAGCATTCATCAGCGTCACGTATCGCCCACTGTATGAAAATGCATTCCCACAGTATAACCGTGGCATAGGTGGACTCTATAGGAATAGGCTTGAAATATTCTACAACTCACTGTCTTCGCAGATACCCGAGTCGTTACTTGTTTGGAAAATTGACCTCTGGTTTGCATCGCCAGCATCTTTGGAGAGTTCTTCCAGGTCCTGCGAAAAATACGGCTCATCATAAACACTTCAGATATAAGCCTAGCTGCTCGAGTTACTTTCGGCGACATAAAGAACTGACCTTATTGCGCCTTCTTATCTTGGTGAGGTAAGTCTTCAAGTCACCCAGAGGACAGTACTCGAGAAGCAGCGCCATCACAGATCCAGTCGTACAACAAGCTCGAAGGCTGACAATATTTGGATGAGGGCCCACGAGCTTCAAGAGTTCTATCTCCTGAAGAAGACCCCTCTTTTCTTCCGGTGTGAAGCTCTCTAAGAAAAGGGAAAAGCACCCTTCCGCTTGACGCAATAAACAAGCACAAGTAAAAGAACGAATTTGTTAACCATGCGTTTGAGTTCGATATCATGCGACACAAAGGTAAAGGGACGTTCTTTAGTCAAGGCAGCGGCACCGGAGGTTTTTAAGTCTCGTCCCCCATGCCAGAGCACTCGCCCTAATTCAGCAATATTATGCTTGCTAAACCAGGTGACATCTTGTTAGGGCCTTTTTTTCCCTTTCTTAAAATGAGAGCCCTTCCAAGATGTTTTAAGGCGTTCTACAGAAATCTAGCTAAAGGGGGCCGTGCAACGACATTCGCTTGGATTGTTTTTCACGTTAGGCGAGCTTACTGGTACTATACTCCGCGCCAACTTTTCTTGGCGATGCAGTGGAAGGTACAGGCCCGCGTCCCCTCTCCCATTTTGAGTGTACGCATGCTCTGCTCCTCTCCCCATTTCCGGGGAGAGGAGGAGAGCCTGCGCACGCTCAAAATGGGAGAGGGGACGCGGGCCTATGCCTTCCACTGCATCACCAAGAAAAGTTGTCGCGGAGTATAGACCGTTCCATTAGGGTCATAGCAGAGAGGGTAAAAGAGAAAGAAATGCACTCCCCCTCTCACCCCATATGTCGTCTGCTCCGCCGAGTGGGCTGTAGCTAGCGCCCGGCTGGCGTGCAAACTCTGTTTAAAATTGCGTCATTTTGGAACTTTCAAGCGCAGATGCGCAGATTTTGGTATGCCAGTTGTCGTGCAATACTATGCTAGATAAAAAGACTCACAGGGTCCAATCGCGCTGTTACCTGCGTGCAAATAAAAAAAAAAATAAGAAGAACTGTGTCAGATTGGCCGGTCTCTTTGGCGAAAAGTAAATCCGGTTGCTGTACCTTTTTTACTATACAAAGTTCGTACTGGTGTAAGCCTTTAGCGACCATGAGTGGAAGTCTGAAATAATAAATAAAACGTGCTCTCCTGCCGCAATACACGCAGTAGTTGAGGGTAGCACTGCCGGCTGACTCATTTAAGTAACGTAAAAAGGACATGCTAGTTGATCATTTAGCGAAATAGAACAACAGAGAGCTATAGGCTGATTTTGGAGTAGCCACAACTATTCTAAAAACGCTAACCACTTCAAAACGCGAACCACTTCACCTGCCGATACAGCCCATAGATGGAGAACGACAACCTCCCGGTTTGTCGTCTGCTAGCGGAGTCGGGCGCGTGCCCTCTCTCTCGTTTTACCCCACCGAACCCGCTGAACTTCCCGGATGTGTGGAGAGGGCGCTGCGGTCGAAGAAAATGGTGCCGCTCAGAGAGCGCTAAATGGAATTATCTGTAGTGGGACCCAAGTATACTCGCGCGCAACGCCACTGACCAAGAAACTACTTGTTGCGGTGTCATTTCAAGGAAAAATGCAAGCGTCTTTTCATTTGCAACGTAGACTAGCGCTCTTAACTTTCATGTCAATGAGAGTTGACTCAATCGCGATGGGCCAGAGGTACACGGCGGCGCCAACTGTTAATGAGCCCCTAACGATCATTGAGCACAACTGAGCTGATCTGCCTGAGTTAACTGAAGGGGATTCGCCCCACTAGAGCTAAAGATGGCGGCTTCCGCCGCAGCGCCGCCCGTGGCCAGCGCAAGCGGAGCACTTACTACTGTGGAAGATTCGGGAGGTAACTAGAAAGTATCGTAGCAGCAAAGATAGTCGGAAGAAGTAAGGATTCGGGGCCAGAGCTGCCGCTAGAACGATCACGGCAGGTCGAGGAAGCCAAACTCGACGAGGTTGGCCGTTGTGATGTTGGTGCCTATAAGACTTTAGTTGCATCGCTCTTGCTTAAATTTGTGTGACCCATTCTGATTATCATCTCTTTACTCTAAAACCAAAACAATAGGTGAATTTTATTTTGCTTTAAACATTTATAATGAACTAAAAGTATGCATATAAATATTTTGCATCACTTTTTTAAGAAAAAAGTAATGTGACATCAGTTGTGGTTTCTTTTTCGGTTTTAACTGTTTCCGTTGACGTGCAGCTCAACTAGAGTGAGCTAGAAAAGATGAGTGGGGCCACCGGAGTGGGATTTCTAAAGCTCCGCATGTGTAAAAGTTATTAGATAGAGTTCGCTACGAGCGAAGTGGCTTGGATTTGCATAAACAAAGGGTAAACGAGTGCTACAATATAAGCTCTTGACCAAACGCGCAGATCATTTTTAACTATGTATTTTACCACTAATCTTTTATGAACAAAACGTTCTGTTCCAACACTACTTTCGACCGGCAGATAGGCCAAGGAAACAATAGAGCCCCGGGCTATATATTTACACAATCTAGACGAGAGTCGTTACGTTAATACACAACGTCACAGCGACCTGACGTGTCGTCACAACGCCATGCGACTTCTCGACGACGCCTTAACGTCAACGCCGTCGTTGACGTTCACAACGCGCGTTAAATGCTGTTTATATATACTCCGTCGTAACGTCAACGAGCGCACTCGATCGTTCACGCTCGCTGACGTTGTCTGCGAACGGGGTGTCTATACTCCAACATCAAGTTGAACGCGGCGCAGCGCAAGCAGCTCGAAGCGCGACAGCGTAGCTTACGACGGACTTGGACATGCTCTACGTTCAACGTTGGTGAGACGACGGCGCCGACGGAGGCTAACCCAGAAGCCCTCGCGCAAATGCCTCTTTCGGAAATCCGGTTGGCGGGGACGTCGGGGCCAGTCGGAGTGTGGTGCGAAATGCTCATTTCTGGGATCTGAACCTGTCGTTCTTGCCGTGTGCCGTGTGCTGTTGTCCTGTTCCCGTGTTGGTGTGCGCATTTAATGTTAGTGCGCTAGACCAGGCGAGCGTGTGCGTGGACGTGGACTGCTCCGAAAATGCGCTACCCTCGATTCTCGATAGGCCTATCGACCTAACGAGCCGGTGGTGGTGGGTCGTGGTGTTGGGGTGCCGGCAAAAGCTGGAAGCTCGAGGACGCGTCAAAGGCAGGAGTAATTAGAACTAAGAAATACATAATATGTGTGCTATTTATAATCAAGTGCTGGTCGCACTTACCGGCAGTCGTTCCCGATCGAAAACGCGTCGTCGAATGTACAGGAACGGTGGACACAGTGAAACCTCTGAACTACTTAGCCGGCCAGAAATTTTCGATTGGGCTGACTCAGCTTGTAAACGATAGTAGCGGTGCGCGATGACAATTGGACTGAATCCTGGATTGTTTGTATAGCCTTGCGTTACAATTTCGAACACGTACAACGCGTAATGTTGTGTATCGTCCGCTTTCTTCGGTGTCCGTTTCTAAAGTCAGCTTGAAAGTGTTCTATGATGATAACACACCGACTACCTGTCAGAAAGAGGTCTCTGTGTAATATCAAGTGTATCGATTTCATCGAAGCATTCCGGCGGAATAGCCGGAGTCGCTTGGCACCATTCAGGCGAACCTGCGAAGCAGCTTTGTTCGACAGGCGCGATATCGGGCTTTTGTTTTTCGTTTTTGTTGTCTTGTTGACCTTTGAGTGTCATTTACGATAAAATAAATGCTGGTTTGCACTCGTTATCACCATCATTTCCTTGTTTTTTGAACTGCTAACCGTTACCCCGAATGGTTGTTTATAAGCGTGACATGACAACACGAGGACGAACCACACTGGCCGATTGCATCTAGGCTAGGAGGCGCAAGCTACCGCCCATAGAAAACGCGTAGAGACGATGCGGTTGCCACGGAGACGCGCATGCGCAAAGTGGGGCAGTTCGTCGGGGCGCGCTGGACTAGCGTTAGTCTAAGCTGGACTATAAACAGCATCGTTCGGGCGCTTCTCGGCGCGGCGCAGTGGCCGACGAACTTCGGTCTGCGCTGACGCGCGTTCTGTTCGCCGACGTTGGAGCATAAACCGCGCTTTGTACGACATCAAGACTGCGTTCTGACGTCACATCGAGTCGACAACGACGTCGATGTCAACGTTGACGCTGACGACGACGACGATGACGATGTCATGCGACGTCAAGACGACGCCGCGTCCTTGCCGACAACGCGACGTCATAAAGACGCTTGGCATCAGGTCGTCTACGTCGTTGTCGTTCACGACGTCGACGTCATCGTCGACCACGACAACATTTCACGAGGTCAGAACTTCGGCGTGACGGCACGTCGACGTGGATGTTGGCGAAGGCAACGACGTTACACGATGTCAGAACTTTGATGTGACGGCGCGTCGACGTTGATATTAGCGAAGGCGACGACGTTACAACATGACGCCAATATTTCGTCGCGACGCGGTTGTGACGCCACGTTCACATCATAACGAAGTTTACAAAAACATCCCGCTACGTCAGGGCGATGTTAACGTGACGTTGCGACGTTTGACATTGCGTGGAGTATCGACGTCGACGTCGTCCTCGACGTGGCATGACGTCATGACCGCGTTACAACAGCGACTTTATGTCGCGTAACGGCGTCGTCCTTAAAGGACACATGCAAAGGAAAGAAACATTTTTTTTAAACAGCTTAGATGGAAAAAGGATATCATAAAACGATTTTGCAACCAAGAAAAAAAATTTTAGAGCTATATTCACGGCGCTATACGAATTTGTAGTTGGCGCCGGCGGGCGCCGCAGAAAAGTGGCCCTTGTTTATCACGTGACGGGCCCATATTTGTCACGTGGTCCTTGCGCTCTTTCGGAAGCTTCTTATGGCCTCTAAAAGTAACTTATTCATCTTTGTTTGGTGTATAACAAAAAACTAAGATGAATAAGTAACTTTTAGAGCCCAAAGGAAACTCCTGAAAAAGCGCAAGCAGACGTGACAGACCTGTGCGCCGGTCAGACGACGGCGGCGGCGCCCCGAAGCAGACAAACTTGTGCGGCGGCGGCGACGGCGGCGCGGAGAAACGCGTTGAAGCGGCGTTCGCACAACGCTCATGGCGCGTTCACACTGGAAGCGGATCCGCGTTCGCGAAGCGGATCCGCGCGTTCTCAACCGCAAAGC